CAAACCAGAAGCCAGACCACAGCTGCATCATTAGCCACTTTAAACCCCTCCAATCCATACATGAAGCAAACTGACACCCTCCATGAAGAGGAGGCACGACCACGAACGCGAAGCCAAAAAATAGCAAGGCAGCCCAAAATCTTAAACCCCTCTGCAACTCAGACTAACCTGAGCACAACCAAACAGAACACTCCCCCAGCCAATCAGAGCACAGCCAACCCCCCAGCCAATCAGAGCACAGCCAACCCCCCAGCCAATCAGAGCACAGCCACGCCCCTAACCAATCAGAACACACCTCCACCCAATCAGAACACAGCCAAGCTCCCACCCAATCAGTTCATACCCCCACTGGCAGTTAAAAGGAATAAACAGCTAAGACCACACATTGCTGCTCAAAGCACGAAGCTGAAAACACCAGCCTGAAGATGACGAATGGGACTTCGTCGAAACGTTGCCAAGACACTTCCAATTTTACGCGGGAGAAAACCCGAACAACCAAAGACCTATATATATATATATATATATATATATATATATATAGGTTTAAAGTGGCTAATGATGCAGCTGTGGTCTGGCTTCTGGTTTGTGGTCGTGCCTCATCATCGGTGTATATATATAAAATTTATATAAAATACAATATATATATATATTATATATTTTATATATATATATATTATATAATATATATATAATATAAATATATATAATATAATATATATAAATATATATAAAATTTGGATTGCTAACAAAGAATTAAGGGAGAATGGAATAGTCCATTCTCCCTTAATTCTTTGTTAGCAATCCAAATTTAAAAAAAATATAAATGATGTCGCAGTTGCGACTGCTGCCTGTGGATGGCTCTAGATTGAGCTGATACAGGCAAAAGATTTCTTTCTCCCATATATAGATATATATATATATACTGTAAAAATCTGAGTCCCAGGTATATTTATTTGTAAAGAAGACATACTGATCTCCGGGACAGATAATTTTATTATGCATAATAATTTTATTATGCATAATAAAATTCTCTGTCCCGGAGATCAGTATGTCTTCTTTACAAATATATCTATATCTCTCTATCTCTCTATCTCTCTCTCTATCTATCTATCTATCTATCTATCTATCTATCTATCTATCTATCTATCTATCCATCTACCTACCTACCTACCTACCTACCTACCTACCTATATATATCTATGTATATATATTACAGTACATTTATCATTATATTTATAAACATAAATATATACTATACATACATAAAGTATAAAAATAATAATTATAAAAAAGAAAACCCAACAAACTCCAAGGGGAGTTTCCGTGGAAAACTAGGCCTTTTTCTGCCATCAGGTTACTATGTTTCTATGAGGAGCTTTCTAGAATTAAAGAAGGGCCTGCTTTATTTTTTCCTTATTTATTGATTAAAGTTATATGCTTTCCCCCTATCCACCGACTCTTGCTTGTGACAAGTGGGCGGTGTTCCCTTGAATGGCTCACATTGCTTATTTCTTGAAGTGTGAACGATAGTTTCCATTCTATTTCAACTCAGTCGTCCTGTTTCCCGGAGTGGAGTTTGGATATAACACAGTGTATTTTAATTTCTTAAATAGCTACAATCTCATAGAGTCATGTCAGCTTTTGAGGAGGGTGTGGATGGGCCGAAGGATGGAGAAGGAAATCGCACCTGTGGCCCTTCTTGTTTTCGCTTTAACAAACCCCCCCCCCCAGAAAAACCCAGCTTTTCCAAACACCCTCCCTGTCGTTGGCTATGAGGCAATCCTAGAATGATGGAGTTGGAAAGGAGCATGAGATCATCTAGTCCAGTGGTTCTCAACCTGTGTGTCGGGACCCCATTTGGGGTCGAACGGCCATTTCACGGGGATCGCCAAACAACGCAGTCCGCCATTTCCCCCCCCCCCTTTTCCTTGGCTGTGCTACTCCCTTTTATTCTCTTGGCTTTTGAAAGCCAATAGAAGAGACTCTCTTGAATAGAGTCTAATTCTATTGGCTTTCAAAAGCCAGTAGGAATTGTCCAGGCTGTCTCTGCCCTGCTGAGCCCGCCAAAAGTCCCATTCTGCAAACGGTGCTGCACCAGCTGAGTAGTCCTCGACTTATGACCATTTGAGTAGTTCTCGACTTACGACCGGTTGGGGGTCGCGGCATTAAAAAGGTTGAGAACCACTGATCTAGTCCAACCCTTTGTATTGTGCAGAGACCAGTTAAACCTTCATGAGAGGTGGCCACCCAGCTACATCTTGAAAACCTTGAGCGAATTTTATCATCCGGAAGATTTCCCTTTTTTATTTATGTATTTGCACACACACAATATACGCACACAAAAACCAGGCATAGGAGTAGCCCATGTGTGCCTGGCTGAGGAAATCTGGGAGTATACTACTACTATTACTACTACTACTACTACTACTACTACTACTACTAATAATAATAATAATAATAATAAAAAGTTGGAAGGGACCTTGGAGGTCATCAAGTCCAACCCCCTGCTCAGGCAGGAAACCCTACCATTTCGGACAAATGGCTGTCCAGTCTCTTCTTGAAAACTTCCAGTGTTGGAGCATTCACCGCTTCTGGAGGCAGGTTGTTCCACTGGTCAATTGTCCTCACTGTTAGGAAGTTTCTCCTTAATTCCAGGTTGCTTCTCTCCTTGATAGGTTCCCATCCCTTGCTTCTTGTCCTGCCTTCAGGTGCTTCGGAGAATAGCTTGCTCCCCCCTCTTCTTTGGGTCAGCCCCTCCAATACTGGAATGCTGCTATCGTGTTCCCCCTGGTCCTTCTAATTTATATTGTTATTCTTGTTTTCCACAGCAACTTGGATCCCCTGACGGAGACTGTATCTTTTTAAAACTTCGGATTGAAGACATTAATGTTCCTAGCTGGGATTTTTGCGTACATTATTCAGGAGTTGCAGTGACTCCCCAACACCCTGCAGGTGTTTCTCTCTGTGGATTTTGATCGTGGGAATATAATAGAATATAATGGAAGAAGCACACCCAGTATGGGAACAACAGCAGCTTAATCTGTAGTTGCCTATTTAACATTCTGGAATGCGATGGCTTCTTTCATAGGTTGATCATGAGGGTGTTGCTACCAGGCAGAACTAGTGGAGTTGTGGAGTGATTCTCATATTATTATTATTAATAATAATAATAATAATAATACCTTACTAGGAACTGCTTCCATCCTGCGACGATATCTGTAATACCATCAAACATCCACATCTGCCTATCCCAGGTCCTGGGTAAGGACTCGATAGGTAGACAAAATGCCAAATCCAGTCTGAACATCTGGCTGACTGTGCGATGATCCATAGTAATAATAATAAAGTTGGAAGGGACCTTGGAGGTCATCTAGTCTAACCCCCTGCTCAGGTAGGAAACCCTACACCATTTCAGACAAATGCCTGTCCAGTTTCTTTTTAAAAACTTCCAGTGTTGGAGCATTCACCGCTTCTGCAGGCAGGTGGTTCATGTTTTGTTTTTTGGTGATGCATAGTTTCTTCTTGAATGCCCCATTGGTCGAGATGAACTTTCCTTAACATAAAACCCTTCATAGTATGGAATTCCATTTTACTTGCAGTACTTGGCTCACTGGCCAGAGTACTTCATTGTGGCAGAAGCCCCCGGGGGAGAGCTGATGGGCTACAGTGAGTACACTAGAGTGTCTTTCTTTTTTTCTGTCTGGACTCTTCAGACCTGAACATACAGGTATTCCTTGACCAGGGGTAGGCAACCTTGGCTCTTTTCTGACTGGTGGACTTCAACTCCCAGAATTCATAAGCCGGCCATGCTGAGGGGAAAGGGAGAGGTTTCCAAGCTGAGTTAGGCTGGCTCAGGAATTCTGGGAGTTGAAGTCCACGAGTCATGAAGGGGGCCATAGTTCCCCCATGCTGGCTCAGGAATTCTGGGAGTTGAAGTCCACCAGTCATAAAAGAGCCAAGATTGCCTACCCCTGTTTTTGAGCAACGACTAATGGAGTGAACCCATGATTTGGGTTGTGCCCGATTTTACAACCTTTTTTGGGGGGTAGTCGTTAAGCGAACCTGGCAATTGTAAAGTGAACACAGTGGTCATTAAGGGGAAGTATTTGCCAGATCCTGCAAGTGCCAGTGTCAGGAAGAAAAAAATGTCATTAATTGTGGTCACGTGATCCCAGGATGCTGTAAATCCAGGTTGGTTGCGAAGCAGACAAAAGGGGAAGTGGACATTAGGATTTTAAATCCAGGTCAACATTCCCCTTTTGCGGGGGGGGGGGTATCCTAAGTTTGAATGGTTGCTAAGCAATGGACCGTAAGTCGAGGACTAAGCTATGGGCTGGTGATAACTGAAGCTTTTGATCAGTTACAAAGATCCCACTGACGACGTGGACTGAAATTTTAATGAAGATTTTCAAACAATAACATATAGGTTGTCCTTAACTTATGACCACAGTTGAGCCCCAGATTTCCGTTGCTAAGCAAGACAATTGAAGCGAATTTTGTCTCCTTTTATCACCTTCCCACCGTTGTTGAGTGAATCACTGCAGTTAAATGAATGACATGGTTGTTAAGTGAATCCGGCTTCCCCCACTGACTTTGCTTGCCAGAAGGTTGCAAGAGGGGGTCACATGACCCTGGGACGCTGCAACAGTCATAAGTACAAGCCAGTTGCCAAGTGTCCGAATTTTGATCACACGATCGTGGAGACCGCAAAGGTCATAGATGGGAAAAACGGTCGTAAGTCCCTTTTTTTAGTGCTGTCGTAACTTTGAACCATCCCTAAGTAAACTGTTGTAAACTGAGGACTAGCTGTATCATTTGCACTTTGGCTGTGAACTTGAGACATGTTTCCTTAGGGCGCATCTGTAGTGAAATGTCTTTTTTTCCTCTCTGCTGGAATAAGAAACTGCTAAAGAACTGTAATAGTAATAGTAGTAAAGTTGGAAGGGACCTTGGAGGTCATCTAGTCCAACCCCCTGCTCGGGCAGGAAACCCTACGCTATTTCGGACAAATGGCTGTCCAGTCTCTTCTTAAAAACTTCCAGTGTTGGAGCATTTACTGCTTCTGGAGGCAAGCTGTTCCACTGATTAATTGTTCTCACTGTCAGGAAGTTTCTCCTTAGTTCTAGGTTGCTTCTCTCCGAATTAAAGATCGGCCGCAGCTTTTCTGTCAGATGATCTTTTCTTTGCAGTCATGGGAAAAGCTGAAGGATCCGTGGCCAGGGAAGAGTGGCATGGCCACGTCACCGCGCTCTCGGTGGCCCCTGAGTTCCGCCGGTTGGGGCTGGCTGCTAAACTGATGGAGCTGCTGGAGGAAATCTCCGAAAGGTAGGGGTGGTTTTGTGAGCGAACATACCGGCGGAGCCCTTAGGGAAGGGTGGACTGGAGCAAAATCCTCATTACCAACGTTCAGTTTCGGGAACTGGTCTGGTTACTTTGGAATCGGACAGAAAGAGATCACAAAAATCTGGAGGACAGTCGTATTTTGTTTTTAATGCTGCAGCTTGGGAGTTCTGTGGGATTCTTAAAAATAGATGATGGCATAAGGATAGAATAGAATAGAATAGAATAGAATAGAATAGAATAGAATAGATAGATAGATAGATAGATAGATAGATAGACAGACAGACAGACAGACAGACAGACAGACAGATAGAGGTAGGTAGATAGGTAGTTAGATTAAACCAGTGGTTCTCAACCTGTGGGTTGGGACCCCATTTGGGGTTGAACGACCATTTCACGGGGGTCGCCAAACAAGGTTGTCCACCATTTTTCCCCCCTTTTCTTTGGCCACGCCCCTGGTACCCGGTGATGTATAAGTGGTTGGGGGTCACCACAACATGGGGAACTGTATTATGGGGTGGTGGCATTAGAAAGGTTGAGAACCACTGGATTAGACAGATATTAGAGATACAGATATAGATAGATAGACAGATTAGAGAGACAAATATAATTAGGTAGGTTGGTAGGTACATAGATAGATAGATAGACAGACAGAGACAGATAGATTAGAGAGACAGAAATATAATTAGGTAGGTAGGTAGATAGGTAGGTAGATAGAGGTAGGTAGATAGGTAGTTAGATTAGACAGAGATATTAGAGATACAGATAGAGATAGAGATAGACAGACAGATTAGAGAGACAAATATAATTAGGTAGGTAGGTAGATAGACAGAGATTAGAGAGACAGAAATATAATTAGGTAGGTAGGTAGATTAGATAGATAGATAGATAGATTAGAGAGAGGTACAGATATAAATAAATAGATTAGAGAGAGAGATCGAAAGATAGATATAGATAGAAATAATAGAGATTAGAGAGAGAGAGAGAGATAGATAATAGAGAGAGACAGATAGAAATATAGGTAGGTAGATAGATAGATAGATAGATAGATAGATAGATAGATAGAGATAGATAGATAGACAGACAGATAGATAGATAGATCGATAGAGCATCGTTTTCAATCATTTAAACAATTACATAGTTGCAGAAAGCAAGTTTAAATAATACAGTAGGCCAAAGTGCTTTTAAGTGTAAAAGAGCTGGTGAATCTTTGCATTTATGGGTGGATTTTATAGCAATAAGAAAAATGACCGTTCATGATAAGAGCTAATTGTAATAAAAAAACATATTCATGTGAAATGTGCAGACATAGATTACTTCTCATTGTAACTTGAGTGCTCTTAATTTTTCCTTGTATTTTTTTTTTTTGTATTTTAAGCCAGAATATAGGAGAACATTCATTAAAACATTAATTGCGAGCAGCGTAGTGGCCTAGAGGCGAAGATGCTGGCCTCCCACTCGGAAGGTTGAGAATTCAATCTCAGGCAGCGACAGATGTTTCTCTCTGGGCCCAACGAGGAAATATCTGCTGTGAACTCCGAATAGGGATCAGGAAGGGCACCCAGCCAGCAAATGCTCAGCTCCACTCAAGTCACCCCGATAAAAGAAAAAAAAAAGAGAGAACATTAATCCAATTGTTTTCTAGCGAGGGAATCTACCTACAATTCTTATCTGTGCAAAAGCAGATCCAGTTTGACATTTACGTAGCACTGTACTTTTTTTCATATAACAATGTGTAATCTTAATGTTGCTCTGACTGTCTCCTTAACCTTCTGTTTTTCTTTCTCGGTGAAGAAAGGGTGGATTTTTTGTGGATCTCTTTGTGAGAGTATCCAATCAGGTTGCGGTGAACATGTACAAGCAACTGGGCTACAGTGTGTACAGAACAGTGTTAGAGTACTACTCAGCCAGCAGTGGAGAACCGGATGAAGATGCATATGGTAAGTGTGTGGATTTTCAGCGCTAAAGGGTATTTGGGATAAACACGATGTCGGGTGTAAAGAACTAGGAACACTCGCTGACTTCAAAGCACCGGAGAGTTTATTGTTGCTACTTACACACAAGAACCTGGTTAACTAACAATCAAAGCTAAATGAATGAATGAACCTTTATTATCAAAGTACAACATGTATACAATGAGGTTGGCTGAGCCTCCCTCCTTGCCCCCCCACCACACGGTGACAACAAACAAAATTGCTGCTAGATAAGGGGGATTTTGGGGGGGGGGGCTGGTGGTTATTCTTTTGTGAGATCGCAAAGATTCCAAACTGATGACCCGTTTAACCCTGCCATCCAGCTCAGCCTGTTCGTCTCCTACAGAGGAATGACATCAATTCCAATTTTCAAAAATGTCTTTATTTCTACTGTATTGTTTAAAATTCTTATGCAGAAAAAATCCTGCCAAGCTATACATTTCTTTTTTTTTGTTTTCAAAAGGTTTAATTTATTCAAAAAAGATTAAAGTACAAAGCACCAAAATATTACAAAACACAAAAGAAAAAAATACAACAAAAAAGACATTAGCAAAAAAGTATCTTAAAAAAAAACCCTCTAAAACAAACACCTAACGTCCTCCGTCGTTGAATGCTGATTGGCATAATATAGCAATTTTAGTTTTCCACCTCCTGCAAAACAGGCCAAAGAAAGGTCAAATTGTTAAGCTACGAAATCTACTTAACAAATTGTTCACCTGTCACCTATAAACTGTATTAATAAACAAAATGGTTAACAGTAAAAATGATAGTAATGAACTTATTATGTAAAAGTACAAGAATAAACTATAATAAACGATGAACTATATATCTCTTACATTTTATATTTTGATAAATAGCTTAAAGCCAGGGGTCTAAACTTAGCACAGAATTCCATATATATACATTTATCTATAACAGTGTTTCTCAACCTTGACAATTTTAAGGCATGTGGACTTCAACTCCCAGAATTCCACAGCCAGCGATGCTGGCTGTGGAATTCTGGGAGTTGAAGTCCACTTGCCTTAAAATTGTCAAGGTTGAGAAACACTGATATAATTCAAATTTCCAGAAAGATAAATCAAATGGCAGTTGAGGGGCAGAACAGATACGGGGAAAAAAATGAGCTTGTCAGACCAGCACAGAATTGGCGGGAAATGGATAATAATATCATGCCATATCCAATTTTACTCCAGATGTTGAGTTTTGAGCACCACTCCTATAACTCTTCATGGAACCCACAAGTAGTAAGACACAGAGGTGGTCCCCGACTTACAATGGTTCGCTTAGCGACCGTTCAAAGTTACAACAGCACTGAAAAACCGGACTTGGGTCTGGTTTTTACTCTTACGACCACGGCAGTGTCCCTGTGCTCTAAATTCAGACGCTTGGCAACCGACTCGTATTTATGACGGGTGGCAGGATCCCAGGGGTCAGATGATCCCTTTTTGTGACCTTCTGACAAGCAGAGTCACTGAACAACCACGTCACTAACTGAACTGCACTTAACTGTGGCAAGAGTCATAATGTGGGGCAAACGTATCCCGAATTTTGTTAGCAGCCGGAATTTTGAGCTCAATTTGGTCGTAAGTTGGGGATTACCCTGGGGTCAGGTCTTTAATAACTCCCTGAACCTCCTCAGGATGGAAATTGTGTGGATGTTTGAGGAAAATCTCATTCCAGAAGGTTGATAGCTGTTGCAGCTTCCCTGGACTTTATAAATTGCAGGTTGTGTTACTAATTTGTATTTTGTTCCTTTTTTTTTTTTACAGACATGAGGAAAGCCCTGTCAAGAGATAAAGAGAAGAAATCAATTATACCGTTACCACATCCTGTCAGACCAGAAGATATTGAATAAGTCGATTCTGCGGTTGCTGTAAAATAGATCGAGAATAAAAACCTGTAGATAAATGGGAACAATCAGGATATCTTTAATGCAACTGGAAGCTTTGGAAGAAAAAGAGAGAGAGAGAGAGTATACGTAAATATCAAACGTTTTCACTTTTAGCCTGCGCTTCTAAATCTCGTAATGCCCACACACACACACCCCCCAAAGCCAGAAACAATCTTATAACTTCCATATTTCTCACGATTCGGTTTTAAAAAATATTAATAAACCCAAAGGCCTCATTTCTAAGAAGGCAGGACTGCTAACGTTTTACCTTGTCGTGGAATTTTTTGCGTGAGTTTAATCAAATTAAAAAAAGCAAATCTTAAGTACGGTATTATGTTTGGAAAAAAAATACTCGTTTTAAAAAATGAGGAGTTCAAATTGCAAAAATAAAAAGGCAAAAATGACACAACACTGGAGGATTTGAAGAAGAGACTGGACAGCCATTTGTCTGAAATGGTATAGGGTTTCCTGCCTGAGCAGGGGGTTGGGTTAGATGACCTCCAAGGTCCCTTCCAATTCTGTTATTCTGCAAGGGTCTCCTGGTTGAGCAGGGGGTTGGACTAGAAGACCTCCAAGGTCCCTTCCAGCTCTGTTATTCTGTTACAATACAGTAAGGGGGGAAAGAAGGGAGGAAACACATCACACCACAGTTTTCCCTCTGCAAACAAATTAGGGTTTGGCATCGTCCAGGTTTTGGGGACTATAAGCCCCCATATTTCCATATTAGTGGTGATGCTGGCTTATTCAACACCTTGAAGGCAGCCAAGGGGAATACCCCCCCCCCCTCTTGTATGCTCTTGATTGTCCTAGGTCAGGGGTAGACAACCTTGGCTCTTTTATGACTGGTGGACTTCAACTCCCAGAATTCCTGAGCCAGCATGGGGGAAACTATGGCCCCCTCATGACTCGTGGACTTCAACTCCCAGAATTCCTGAGCCAGCGTGGGGGAATTATGGCTCCCTTGATGACTGGTGGACTTCAACCCCCAGAATTCCTGAGCCAACATGGCTCAGCTTGGAAACCTCTTTCCCCTCATCATGGCTGGCTCAGGAATTCTGGGAGTTGAAGTCCACGAGTCATAAAAGAGCCAAGGTGGCCTGCCTCTGGCCTAGGCCTAGGCTGCTTCATGACTCGTGGACTTCAACTCCCAGAATTCCTGAGCCAGCATGGCTCAGCTTGGAAACCTCTCCTTTTCCCTTCAGCATGGCTGGCTCAGGAATTCTGGGAGTTGAAGTCCATGAGTCATAAAAGAGCCCAGGTTGCCTACCCCTGTCCTGGGTGGAAGTAAAACAAAAACAAAAACCAGAATGCACCTGGAGGCACCTTGAAAGCCTTTAGTAACAACCCAGGCAGAGCTCTGAACTACAGATAGTCCTCGGCTTTGTGAGAAGTCTTCATCCTGGTTCATCCAAGCAGGGAATAAATAGGCAACATGGAGACTGCTTTGGGAAGAAGGTTACAGTTTATTGAAGAAGCAGAAAGATGGTCCTTGCAGGAAAGAGCAGAGGAGAGGAAAGAGATTGAGCACATGGGCAGTAGGTTTTATACCCCCTCTAGTCTTGTTTGGAATAGTTTCCTGTTCCTGTGGCATGAACCTTGAGGCTGTTTCTGAGTGTTTGTCTAGGCCTTGATATCTGTGGTTTAATCCTATTATCATATCCTGCTTCCCAGGGGATGGGGCTAATGACTCCTAGAGTTTGAGTGGGGTATGCAGATCTTCTCTTAGTCTTCTTGAGTGCTCTGGCTTCAACTTTCTGATGGTTTTGCATCTGCATTTGTATGGGGCTAAAGTGTTGCTTGGGGTAGAGAGAGAGATTTGGGGCCAGGTTTGGTTTTTAAAAAAATCCTTTTGAGGAAAAATATATTTTTCTGCCCTTTTAATATTTCCTTCTCTGGGCTAACTTCCCTCAGCTTACAACAGTTCATTTAGTGACCGTTGAAAGTTGTGAGAGAAAAAAGTGACTTACGATGGCTTTTCACACTTACGACCGTTGCTTGCAGCCTCCCCTTTTGGTCACATGATCAAAATTCAGCTGCTTGGCAACGACTTGTATTTATGACAGTCGCGGTGTCCCGTGTGTGTGTGTGTGTGTCACATGATCCCCTTTTGCGACTTTCCGACAAGCCAATCCAACAAGGGAAGCTGAATCCACTTAAGCAACTCAACCGAGTTACTTAACAACTGCAGTGATTCCCTTAGCAACTGTGACAAGACAGGTCACAAGATGAGGTGAAATTCACTTAACGAACATCTTGCTTAGCGACAGAAACATTGGCCTCGGTTGTGGCCGTAAGCCGAGGACAACCTGTAATAATGTTATCGTCTGTGAAGCCCAAGGAATGGTGTTTGTACCATCTCCCTAACCCTGGTTTAGTACTGCTGTTGCACCATTTGGCCTTGGAGTGTAGTGTTGCTCAGTCTCCACAAGTTTAAACTATGTGGATAGCAACTCCCAGAATTGCTGGCTGGGGAATTCTGGTGTCAACGCTGCTAACGTTGGATGTTTTTACATTGACAACAGAGGGAAATGTAGCCATCTTTTTCCTTTCGTTTTTAGAGTTAGATCAGCGGTCTTCAACCTGTGGGTCGTGACCCCTTTGGGGGTCGAACAACCCTTTCACATGGGTCGCCTAAGACCATCGGAAAACACATATTTCCGATGGTCATAGGAACTGAGACACCGCTCCTCTATCCGTCTCCGCACGGCTTCGAGCTGGGGGCCGTTGCAGCGCCAGATTCGTTTCTGTCGAGCATCTCCTAAGGGAGGCTGCGCTGCTTCGCGGCCCTTTCCATGGAGGAGGTTGAACTAAACTCTGCCGGCGCTGTCACCCTCTTGGCTCTCGCTCTCTCCCTCTCTTTCCCCGTCTGGGCGCTTCTCCAACCAGGCTGGGCAAAGCCGGCGGAGCGGCCTTCCTGCCCCCCCTCCCCGGCCAGCTGGAGCCGGGCAGGCTGGCGACCTTAGGAAGTGAGATGAGGACGGGCAAGGCGTGCTGAACCCCGGGCGCGGCGGGTGAGTGGGCGGCGTCGGTGCGTGCTTGGAGAGCCCTTAGGGTTGGGGGTCAGCACAACATGAGGAACTGTATTAAAGGGTTACAGCATTAGGAAGGTTGAGAATCACTGAGTTAGATGATGCTGGGAGGGGGGGATGTGAATTGAGAGTCCAGCTAGACCAGTGGTGGTGAACCTATGGCATGAGTGCCAGAGGCGGCACTCCTAGCCCTCTATGTGGGCACACACACACGCCGTCATCCCAGCCCCCCTCTCCCCGCAGCCCCCTCCACACCAGCAGCCCCCCTGGAGGAGAGTCACCCCCGGGTGCAGCCTGCGCGGAGCAGCGCAGCCAAGCACATGGCAGCTGGGCAGCAGATGATGCTGGAGGGTGCGGGCAGAGGGCATGACTAACATGGCACTGCAGGGCCACCTGGGTGATCTGAGGGTGGGCAGGGTGAGGGCGGGTGCAGGTGGGTGGAGCGGGGGCAGGCTGGGTTTTGGGCACTTGGTCTCTAAAAGTTTCGCCATCACTGAGCTAGACATAACAACACTGAACCTACAGTGAGAATCAAAGTTATTGAAATCAGAGCTGATAAAGAATTGGCGGGCAGGAGAGCTGGAGAGGAAACCTGGCTTCAAGCTAATTGGGGAATGTGATTTATGATTGTATTGGAGGAGGGAATTGTGCTTTGATACTAAGTGCCCAGGAGAAGGGAATTCAGTTTTTGGCTTCGATTAGGTAATCAAGGAGAGAAGCAACCTGGAACTAAGGAGAAACTTCCTGACAGAACAATTAACCAGTGGAACAATCTGCCTCCAGAAGCGGTGAACGCTGTAACACTGGAAGCTTTTAAGAAGAGACTGGACAGCCATTTGTCCGAAATGGTATAGGGTTTCCTGCCTGAGCAGGGGGTTGAACTAGATGACCTCCAAGGTCCCTTCCAAGTTTATTATTAAGTGCCGATATTATGCTACTCGAATAAAAGACCCTTTAAGGTAAACAATGCCTCGAAGTTCTTTTGAAGAGTTTCCTCTGTCGGAACCATGACATCTGGCAGTTGAAGTCCACCCAGCCTAAAGTTGCTGAGGTAGAGAAACACTGACCACATGAGCGTCCACCTGCACCCTTGCCCTGCCACGGCCATCTTAACTGTTCCACCTTGCTGTTCCCAGTTAGTTTTCTTCCTCTGTCTCTGGAGATTCTCCATTCTCCAGGTCAGAGTCGTCCCCAAGGTGCTTTTTCCAAAAGGCAACTGGACTTTCTTGGTTTTTTTTCTCCTGGTAAATGTTTTGCTTCTCATCCGGGCCTTCAGAATATACAACTATACAACTTCAGAACCGAAGAAGCTTCCTGGAATGAGGAGAAAAACGTCTTCAAGGAAAAACCAAGAAAGTCCAGTTGCCTTTTTTTTTTTTTTTTTTTTTTTAAAAAAGCACCTTTGGGTGTTCTTCCTCCTGTTCTGGTTCTCCATTCTTTCTGGGTTTCTCCATTGCTGACCGTTTCTCCTTGTTTGGAGAACAAACTAAATAGGAAAAGGACGTCCAGCTTTTCCTGAGGCAGGTAGAGGTGAAGGTGCTGGATCAGGATTGGGGGGGGGGGCAGGGTCTGTTCAACACCTTTTCTAGCCAAGGAAAGTCCCTGGAGATTATGAGCAATATATTATCTATCAAGCTATCATTTATCGCCTTTGCACTCTCTCTTTCTCATTCATCTATTATCTATCTCATATATCCTTTATCTAGCTTCATTATCTATCCCTTTATGTCCATCCATCCATATCCTTAAGTACCTGTATCTCTGTATCATTCCTTCCTTCCTCCCTCTAATATATCCTTTATCCAGCTTTATTATCTATCCCTTTATGTCCATCCAATCATCCATGTCTCTGTAACTCTTATCATTCATTCATTCATTATCTATGTAATATATCCTTTATCTAGCTTTATTATCTATCTCTTTGTCCATCCATCTATCTCTGTAACTATCTCTGTATCTCTGCATCTTTGATCTTTTTCCATTCTTCATTCATTCATTCATCATTTATCTATTATCTAATATATCCTTTATCTAGCTTTATTATCTATCTTTATCCATCTATCTATATCTCTGTAACTATCCCTGTATCTCTGCATCTCTGTATCTATCCATTCATTCATTCTATTATCTAATATATCCTTTATCTAGCTTTATCTATCCCTTTATGTCCATCCATCCATCCATTCATCCATCCATATCTCTGTAACTCTGTCTATCATTCATTCATCTATTATCTATCTATCCTTTATCTAGCTTTATTATCTATCCCTTTATGTCCATCTATCCCTAACTCTATGTATCTTTTTCTTTCATTCATTCATCTATTATCTAATATATCCTTTATCTAGCTTTATTATCTATCCCTTTATGTCCATCTATCCCTAACTCTATGTATCTTTTTCTTTCATTCATTCATCTATTATCTAATATATCCTTTATCTAGCTTTATTATCTATCCCTTTATGTCCATCTATCCCTAACTCTATGTATCTTTTTCTTTCATTCATTCATCTATTATCTAATATATCCTTTATCTAGCTTTATTATCTATCTCTTTGTCCATCCATCCATCCATTCATCCATCCATATCTCTGTAACTCTGTCTATCATTCATTCATCTATTATCTATCTATCCTTTATCTAGCTTTATTATCTATCCCTTTATGTCCATCTATCCCTAACTCTATGTATCTTTTTCTTTCATTCATTCATCTATTATCTAATATATCCTTTATCTAGCTTTATTATCTATCCCTTTATGTCCATCTATCCCTAACTCTATGTATCTTTTTCTTTCATTCATTCATCTATTATCTAATATATCCTTTATCTAGCTTTATTATCTATCTCTTTGTCCGTCCATCCATCCATATATCTGTAACAATCTATATCTATCATTAATTCATCCATCTATTATCTATCTAATATATCCTTTATCTAGCTTTATTATCTATATCTTTACGTGCATCTATCTATCTATCCATCCATCCATCCATCTCTCTGTAATTATCTGTATCTTTCATTCATTCATTCATTCATTATCTAATATATCTAGGTTTATTATCTATCTCTTTGTCCATCCATCCATCTATATCTCTTTAACTATCTCTGCATCTATCTCTCCATTCCATTCATTATGTCTCTCTCCTTTATCTAGCTTTATTCTCTATCCCTTTATTATGTCTCCATCTTCCCAGCTGAGTATCACGTGCTCAGGCTAGGGGGCGGAGCAGCTCACGCGCACCGGAAATTCCGCCTCCGGCTGGTGGAAGCGACGCTCTGGGGGATCTCTATGGTCCGAGGAGGGGGCGGCCGCCTTTTCCTGTTGATTTCCTCTCTTTCTTCCGGGTTGGAGGCAATTTGGGGAGGGGGAGGGCGAAGCGGGGCCGCAGCCGGAGGGGCCGCCGGGGGAAGGACGAGGAGGCGGAGGCGAGGTGAGTCCGGAGAGGGAAGGGGAGATTCGCCCACCCTAGAGGTGTGGGACTACAACTCCCATCACCCTCACCCAGGGGGAGGGGTTGGGGGGGAGGATTTGTAGTCCCCCCCCTCCTAGGCGGAGGCGGCCGGTGTGCCGCGGGATAGGGAGCCCCCCCCCGCGCCGGATCCCCTTGGCCGGTCAGGAAGGGAAGCGGGGCTGGGAAGGGAGACCACCAGGAGATCCCAGGTTGGAGCCCGGCAGGCAGAAAGAGGCCCGGGCGCTGCAGCAGCCCTTGCCCGGTGGGCGCTTTAGCGCTTTGATTTCTGGGTTTTGATATTTTTGCTTTATTGGATGTATTCACTATTTATTCTGGGCAGTTCACAACAAACAGAAAGGGTTAAAAAAAACAACACACACACACACACACACAGGCAATCACATACAACTATCCAAAAACCACAATTAAAAATGGAGCAAAACATAAAATAATAATCCCAGCCGGAGAGTCCATTGAATATACTGTAGCTTTGCTAAACATCTGGGAGAAAACAACTAAACCCAGAGAGCATCAGTCAGCCCAAAGTCGTCTCCCTCCTTCTCCTCTCCCCCTAACACCCACTCCCAGCACTGATGGCGTTACCTAGTGGGGTCATGAAAGTCTGTAAGGAAATAGCCAAGAGGACCCCAAGGGCCCCACAGTCCTCCTCCTCCTCCTCCCCCCCCAATCTATTTCCCTTCTAGCGCTGATCCTCTCTCGATGGGTCAGGAAATGTCTGCAAGAAAACCGCCAAGCTTGGAGAGCATCGGTGAGCCCAAAGTCCTCCCCTACGCAAACCCCCCTTCCCTTTCTGGCACTGATGATGTTACCTAGTTGGGTCATGAAAACGACCCAGCTCAGAGAGTACCAAGGACCCCATACTCCTCCCCTTCCTCTTTCTCCTCTCCCTCTTTTTCCTCCTCTCCCCTTCTCCTCCTCCTCCTTCTCACAAACCCCACTTGCTACTAGTGCTGATAATGTTACCTAGTTGGGTCATAAAATGTCTGCAAGAAAACAACCCAGATCAGAGAGCAACGACCCCACATTCTTCTTCCTCCTCCTCCTCCTCCTCCCTTCTGTCACTGATGATGTTCCCTAGTTGGGTCATGAAACGTCTGCAAGAAAACAGCCCAGCTCAGCAGCAAGGACTTCAAAATTATTCTCCTCCTCCTCCTCCTCCCCCCACCCCACCCCATTTCTTTCTAGCCTGGATGAACCACCCAGCTCAGAGAGCACCAAGGACCCCACAGTTGTTGTCCTCCTCGTCCTCTCCCCCAACCCCCTTCCCTTCTAGCACTGATGATGTTTCCTACTTGGGTAATGAAATGTCTGCAAGAAAAGAACCCAGCTCAGAGCACTAAGGACCCCACAGTCCTCCTCCTCCTCCCCCCACCCCCCATTCCTTTCTAGGCTGGATAATGTTACCTAGTTGGGTCATGAAACGTCTGCAAGAAAACCACCCAGCTCAGAGAGCATCAAGGACCCCACATTCCTCCTCTTACTCCTCCTCCTCCTCTTCCATCTCTGCAAATCCCCCTCCCTTCTAGCACTGATGATATTACCTAGTTGGGTCATGAAACGTCTGCAAGAAAACCACTCAGCTCAGAGAGCACCAAGGACCCCACATTACTCCTCCTCCTCCTCCTCCATCATCTCTGCAAATCCCCCTCCCTTCTAGCACTGATGATGTTACCTTGTTGGGTCATGAAACATCTGCAAGAAAACCATCCAGCTCAGAGAGGACCAAGGACCCCACAGTTGTTGTCCTCGTCCTCCTCGACCTTCCCCCTCCCCTTTCAATGATATGATCTAGTTTGGGTAATGAAACTTCTTCGAGGAACCAAAACAAGCTCAGAGAGCACCAACTACCCCACAGTTCCACCCTGAGTTACGAATAATCCTTGTCCGTTGTTTCTTTCTTGTTGTCCAAAATCTTGTCATGAAATTTGGGGATGAGACTGAACCAGCTCTAGCGAGCCTGCCATGCAGTGGATCTTTTAAACGTTATTTAAGGATCTACAAAGAGAAATTGTAGAGTCCAGATCTTTGGAATAATTCTCCCGTTCTGCTCTTTTCGGGCTAGGTTTTACTCGGAACACCGGACGCCGGACACTGCAGTGCAGAAAGGACACTAACCAACTGGAGGGAGGTCAGCGAAGGTCCTCAAGAGCGGGAAGGACCTGGAAACGGGTCCTTTGAAGAAAAGGGAAAAGACCTGGGTAGGTTAGCTCAGTGGTTCTTAACCTGGGTGATATTGCCCCCCAGGGGGCGATTTCATTTTTCAGGGGGGCAATGGAACGAAAAGGGGCGACGCGGGGGCGAAGGAATGAAAAGGGGGCGATATGGGGGTGATGGAGCGAGAAGTTTTAGGGACACTTTTGAGATTTTTTCATACAGTGAATCGCTGCATATCTGTCGTACAAAAACATCAGATCGCTCGCTCTTCGTGGATTGAATTGTGTTTTCAAATGTTCCTCCAGCTAGCTTCAGTACGGAACGCCGTACATATGTGAAGACGCATCGCTTATCTTCATGCGCGTTGCGCAGCAGCCTCTACCCTTTTTATATTTCTTTTTGCGTCTTAAATTTCACTTGTAATTCAATCATTAAATGTTACTATTTTTCTTTTCGGGCATTTCACTTTCTTGCCATTGAATTTTGTTTTCAGTGGTCATTACATTTAAGTGTCTTGAATAAATAAGATAATAATGAAATACATGTATCACGAAGTTTGGGAATAAAGTGATGGGTGGCACCAAAATTTTTCACACAGTTGAGAGATGGGAAAAAGACTGGAAATAAATTATTTGCATCGATATGTCCTGATGACAATTTTAAAGAAAACAAAAACAAAAGGGTTCGCATAAATTGAAGAATTATTTCCTATGTTGTGATTGAGAGGTTATGTTGGGGGAGGGGGCGATGACAACTTCCTCATTGGCTGAAGGGGGTGATTCGTTCCAAAAGGTTAAGAACCACTGGGTTAGCTGCAGAAGGGACATTTGGGGGGACAGATGTTGGCAGTTTGGGGATATCTAAATGGTTTTCAAGGAAAGGAGATGGTGGACTACTTCTGTACTTATCTGGAAGGGCAAGACCTAGAACAAAGGGCTGAAATGGGGGCAGTAATAGATGTCAGGAGGAATTTCCTTCAGGTGAGGACTAGTGGAATAGATACAACATTTCATGTTTCACTTCACTGGAGGACTCAGAACAGAATAGAATTACAGTGCCGGAAAGGGACCTTGGAGGTCGTCTAGTCCAACCCACTGCTCCAGCAGGAAGCCCTATGCTATTCCAGACAAATGTCTGTCCGGTCTCTTCTTAAACATCTCCAGCGATGGAGCATCCACAACTTCTGGAGGCAGGTCGTTCCACTGGCTTATTGTTCTCACCATCAGGAATGTCTGTGGCTGTGAGATGGCCTATACCAGGGGTAGGCAACCTTGGCTCTTTTATGACTCGTGGACTTCAACTCCCAGAATTCCTGAGCCAGCATGGCTCAACTTGGAAACCTCTCCCTTTCCCCTCAGCATGGCTGGCTCAGGAATTCTGGGAGTTGAAGTCCACGAAGTCATAAAAGAGCCAAGGTTGCCTACCCCTGTCCTAAGTCCTCCTGCTCTAAGCAGTGAGCCTCCTAGACCAGGGGTAGGCAACCTTGGCTCTTTTATGACTCGTGGATTTCAGCTCCCAGAATTCCTCAGTAAGCATGGGGGAACCATAGCCCCCTTGATGACTTGTGGACTTCAACTCCCAGAATTCCTGAGCCAGCATGGCTCAGCTTGGAAACCTCTCCCTTTCCCCTCAGCATGGCTGGCTTAGGAATTCTGGGAGTTGAAGTCCACGAGTCATAAAAGCCCAGGTTGCCTACCCCGGCCTATATGGAAAAAATAGTTAAATTTGTAAATGTAAATGTAATTAATTTTTGAGAAAATCTTCACCAGTAAGAATACCTAGAATTTGGTGGGAGAAATAAACTAAAGGATTGTGACAGGATCTATGATAAGGCAACCAGAATGACTGAATAGAAAAGAAATATTATACTGATGTTATTATTTTTAGGAATATTGGGGGGAAATTATATATTCAATTGCTATTTATCAAAACAATAAGAATGTATTAACTCAATGTTTGCAAAACAGGATATTTTGGGGAAAGAGGAAATCAACTAAAATTATTATGTGGAATATGGATTATAGAATGTAATTGTTAAAGGATGAGGGGGGACATGATAGCAGCCTTCCAGTATCTCAGGGGCGGCCCCAAAGAAGAGGGAGTCAAGCTCTTCTCCAAAGCGCCTGAAGGCAGGACAAGAAGCAACGGATGGAAACTCATCAAGGAGAGAAGCAACCTAAACTAAGGAGAAACTTCCTGACAGGGAGAACAATTAATCAGTGGAACAACCTGCCTCCAGAAGCAGTAAATGCTCCAACACTGGAAGTTTTTAAGAAGAGACTGGACAACCATTTGTCCGAAATGGTATAAGGTTTCCTGCCTGAGCAGGGGGTTGGACTAGATGACCTCCAAGGTCCCTTCCAACTTTATTTATTTATTATTATTATTATTATTACTACTACTACTACTACTATTACTACTACTACTACTACTACTTTTTTGGAGAATAGGGTGACTACCACCCCCTTGCAGACTGCAGACTGAATAGGCCACCATCTAAAATGCGTTTAACATCAAATGAGGTTGGACTAGATCAGGGGTAGGCAACCTTGGCTCTTTTATGACTTGTGGACTTCAACTCCCAGAATTCCTGAGCCAGCTGGCTCAGGAATTCTGGGAGTTGAAGTCCACAAGTCATAAAAGAGCCCGGGTTGCCTACCCCTGGACTAGATCAAGCGGTCTTCAAACTTGGCCCTGTGCCTGGCTGAGGAATTCTGGGAGTTGAAGTCCACAAGTCATCAAAGGGCCAAGTTTGAAGACCCCTGGACTAGATAATCTTTGAGGTACTTACCAATTCTGTGACTCTATGATTTCCTACTGTACTAATCTTTAAATCATCGTTCAAATTGTGTCTAGGTAACAAAAGCGCCACCCCGTGCTGGATTAAACCACCAACCATGTCTAAAGATGAAGAAAAAGTTAATTTGCGTCGCCTGGAGCCTGCCATCCAGAAGTTTATTAAAGTTGCCATTCCCACAGATCTGGAGCGGTTAAGAAAACATCAGATAAATATTGAGAAGGTTATTTTTTTCTTTTTTCTAAAAATATATATATATATATTAATCTTAAGAAGGTCTGGCAGGAGATGCATGTTGCGGGTCCCGCAAACTGGGGCATGTTGTCAGGCTCCTTGACTCCCAGCCATTTGTTTGGTGACCGTTTGAAGTGACAGTGACACTGGAAAAAGTGACATAATGACCAGTTTTCACACTCATGACCATTGCAGCATCCCCGGGATCGCGTCATGAAAATTCAGATGCTTGACCACTGACTTGTATTTATGACAGTTGCAGCGTCCCAAGGTCATGCGATAACAATAGCAATAATAATAGCACTTAGGCTTCTATATCGCTTCACAGCGCTTGTACAGCCCTCTCTAAGGCAGTGGTTCTCAACCTTTTTAATGCTGCAACCCCCAACCGGTCGTACGTTGAGGACTACTCAACCGGTCGTAAGTCGAGGACTACTCAACTGGTGCAGCCCCGCTTGCAGAATGGGACTTTTGGCGGGCTCAGTAGGGCAGAGACAGCCTGGACAATTCCTATTGGCTTTGGAAAGCCAATAGAATTAGACTCTATTCAAGAGAGTCTCTTCTATTGGCTTTCCAAAGCCAATAGGTTGAGAACCACTGCTCTAAGGGGTTGACAGAGTCAGCCTGTTGCACCCCCAACAATTTGGGTCCTCATTGTACCGACCTTGGAAGGACGGAAGGCTGAGTCAACGTTGAACTTCGTCAAGATTGAACTCCTGTGAACCACCACAGCTTCCTTCCTTCTTCTCATTTCCTTTCTTCCTTCTTTCCATTCATCCTTCCTTCCTTCCTTCTTTCCTTCCTTCCTTCCTTCCTTCCTTCCTTCCTTCCTTCCTTCCTTCCTTCCATCCTTCCTTCCTTCCTTCCTTCCTTCCTTCCTTCCTTCCTTCCTTCCTTCCATCCTTCTTCCTTCCTTCCTTCCTTCCTTCCTTCCTTCCATCATCCATCCTTCCTTCCTTTCTTCCTTCCTTCCTTCCTTCGCATTTTCCTTCCTTCCGTTTCCCTTCATTCCTTCCTTCCTTCCATCCTTCCATCCATTCCTCCTTCCTTCCTTTTCCTTCCTTCCTTCCTTCCTTCCTTCCATCCATCCATCCATCCTTCCTTCCTTTCTTCCTTCTTCCTTCCTTCCTTCCTTCCTTCCATCCATCCTTCCTTCCTTCCATTCATCCTTCCTTCCTTCCTTCCTTCCTTCCTTCCATTCATCCTTCCTTCCTTCCTTCCTTCCTTCCTTCCTTCCTTCCTTCCTTCCTTCCTTCCTTCCTTCCTTCGCAATAGCACTCAGACTAATATCCATCTTCACAGAGCTTTACAACCCTCTCTGAGCAGTTTACAGAGTCAGCCTATTTGCCCACCAACAATCTGACTCCTCATTTTATCAACCTCGGAAGGATGGAAGGCGGAGTCAACCTGGGGCCAGTCAGGATTGAACTGCTGGCTGTGGGCAGAGTTAGCCTGCAATACTGCATTCTAGCCACTGGGAAGGGAGGGGGGGGGGAAGGAAACAAATCAAAGAAGGAAAGGAAAAGGAAGAAAGGAAGGAAGGAAGGAAGGAAGGAAGGAAGGAAGGGTAACAGCAATAGCACTTATATCCCGCTTCTTATATCCCTCATCACAGTAAGTGGTTCACAGAATCAGCACGTTGCCCCAAACAATCTGGGTCCTCATTTTACCAACCTCGGAAGGCTGAGGAAGGCCGAGTCAACCCTAACCTCATCAAGATTGAACTCCTGTGCACCACCACGACTTCTCATTTCCTTCCTTCCTTCCTTCCTTCCTTCCTTCCTTCCTTCCTTCCTTCCATCCATCCATCCATCCATCCATCCATCCATCCATCCTAAGCAATAGCGCTCAGACTAATATACCTCTTCACAGAGCTTTACAGCCCTCTCAGCTTATTTGCCCCCCAATAATCTGAGTCCTCATTGTACCGACCTCGGAAGGAGCGAAGGCCGAGTCGACGTTGAGCCGGTGAGATTCGAACTGCCAAACTGCTGGCAGCCGGCAGTCAGCTGAAGTACTGCCTTCTAACCCTTTTACAACCTTCTGTCAATGGGGAAGCCAGATTCACTTAACAAGCTTGCGACTAACGACAGAGGCAGGAATTCACTTAACAACCGTGGGGAGAGAGAGGTTGTAAAACGGGGCAAAACTCACGTAGAATGGCTTGTTTAGGTATGGAAATTGGGGACTCCATTTGTGGTTGTAAGATAAGGACTACCTGTAATGGGGCCCTGCCCTGTGGAACATCGCTTCCTTCCAGGTGAGGCTGGGCCCAGCCCTGTTGGGGTTCCTTAAATAATGTGTCATGGTTCCGAACAGAACTTTGAGGCATTGTTTACCTTAAAGAATCTTTATTCGAGTAGCATAGCGTCGTACATAGGCCAAGCCAAAATCTGAATTCCCCTCCCCTGAGCACATAATATCAAAGCACAATTCCCTCCTCTAGTTAAGAGTCACAAATCCCATTCTCCAATTTGTTTGAAATGCAGGCTTTCCCTCCAGTTCTTCAACCCCCATTTCTTATCATCTCTTATTTCAATAACCTTGGTTCTCACACTAGGTTCAGCATTGTTATGTCTAGCTAAACTCCCATGCACATTCCTCCTCCCCCCAGTATCATCTAATTCTAACTCTAATTCTAAGAGTAAAACATAAGAAGAAAAATGGCTGCATCTCCATATGTGTTCAAGCAAGAACATCCAATGTTAGCAGCGTTGAAATAATGGCTTGTCAACTAGTTTGGGGACCGCTTAATGGAGCAGAGCCTTAGCCAATGGTATGACAGCTAACAGCATGCTTCATGTTTATATCCTGCCATTTTTTAAAAATCTATTAATTTAAATTGGTTGTTTTAATGGTTTTTATATATTCTTGGTTATTACTGTGTAGGCCGGGGTAGGCAACCTCGGCTCTTTTATGACTGGTGGACTTCAACTCCCAGAATTCCTGAGCCAGCCAATTCCTGAGCGGAAAGGGAGAGGTTTCCAAGCTGAGCCATGCTGGCTGAGGAATTCTGGGAGTTGAAGTCCACCAGTCATGAAGGGGCATAGTTCCCCCATGCTGGCTCAGGAATTCTGGGAGTTGAAGTCCACCAGTCATGAAGGGGGTCATAGTTCCCCCATGCTGGCTTAGGAATTCTGGGAGTTGAAGTCCACGAGTCATAAAGGGAGCATAGTTCCCCATGCTGGCTTAGGAATTCTGGGAGTTGAAGTCCACGAGTCATAAAGGGAGCATAGTTCCGCCATGCTGGCTCAGGAATTCTGGGAGTTGAAGTCCGTGGGTCATAAAAGAGCCAAGGTTGCCTTACCCCTGCTTTAAGAGCATCCCCATTTTTCACAAGGGATGATACAAATCCTTGCATGGTTTAGACTCAGTGCCAATTGAGATGCTGTGTTTTTGACACCCCATGTCCTCTGCTCTCTGTTGTCTGCAGTATCAGAGGTGCAGACTGTGGGACAAACTGCATGAAGAACATATCAATGCTGGCCGTACCGTTCAGGTAAGGGGACGACATCCATAGACGTCCACTGGAGAAGACAGAATGCTGGGCAAATGAACCCCTTGGTAATCTTTTTCTGGGGAAAGCACACCTGTGATAACATCTCCCCGTTTTATCTGTTGGGTGGATTTAATAATAATAATAATAATAATAATAATAATAATAATAATAATAATAATAAAGTTGGATGGGACCTTGGAGGTCATCTAGTCCACCCCCCTGCTCAGGCAGGAAACCCTATGCCATTTCAGACAAATGGCTGTCTAGTCTCCTCTTAAAAACCTCCAGTGATGGAGCACCCACAACTTCTGGAGGCAGGTTGTTCCACTGGTTAATTGTTCTAACTATCAGGAAGTTTCTCCTTAGTTCCAGGTTGCTTCTCTCCTTGATTAGTTTCCATCTGTTGCTTCTCGTCCTGCCTTCAGGCGCTTTGGAGAATAGCTTGACTCCCTCTTCTTTGGGGCAGCCCCTGAGATACTGGAATACTGCTATCATGTCCCCCTTCGTCCTTCTCTTCAGTAAACTAGACATTTCCAATTCCAGCAACCATTCCTTGTATGTTTTAGCCTCCAGTCCCCTAATCATCTTTGTTGCTCTTCTCTGTACTCTTTCTAGAGTCTCAACATCTTTTTTACATCGTGGATTTCTTTAAAAGACCTATAAACCACCTCTTTCCTGAGTCTTGGGGCAACCTCAGCAACTTTAAGAGGTTTGGCCTGTCTGGGGGGGATTCTGGGAAATATTAATGTCCACGCTTCTTAAAAGTTGCCACGGTTGGGGAACACTGCTCTAGCATGGGGCTCCTCCATCTAGGCTTAAGAGCAATGCTTTCGGGCCCTTTTTAGTCTATTTCAGGATTTTCCAACTTTAGCCACTTTTTTTTCCAATTTTACATTTGAGTATTTTAAAGTGCAACGTGGTGACTGTGTTAATCAATACTTCCATAACAAAATCTTTAGTGCAAATCTCAGGTTACAACATCAGATATTTCTTCTCTTTTTCCCCTTAACATTTACTGTCTCGTATTCAAGCCAGTACATTTCTAATTATATCAACTCAATAAAAACATCATTGTTACGTTTATCAATAGATTTTTCGCTTATACGTATCTTAATTACATTCAAAACTTTAGCCACTTTTAAGACACCCATGGACTTCAACTCCCAGCATTCTCCAGCCAGCACTATAAGTCATCCTGGGTTTACAACCATTTGTTGGATGACTGATGTTACACAGCACTGAAAAAAGTGACTTAAACCGTTTTTCACACTTAACGACGGTCGTAGCATCCTCCACGGTCACGTGGTCAAAATTCAGACACTTTGCAACTGGTTCATACTTACGACGGCTGCAGCGTCCCCACGGGGGTCACGTGGTCCCCTTCTGCGTCCTTCTGACAAGCAAAATTGATGGAGAAAGCCATTTAACAACCGGGTTACTAACTTAACTGCAGTGATTCGCTTAACGACTGTGGCAAGGAAGGCGTAAAATGGGGCAAAACCCGCTTAACAACTTGAGCTGAGTTGTGTTCGTAAGTTGAGGAATATCTGTATTTCAGGGTGTCCCAACTCTGGCTAGTGCAGGAGTAGGGAACCTTGGCTCTTTTATGACTGGTGGACTTCAATACCCAGAATTCCTGAATCCAGCCATGCTAAACTCAGGAATTCTGGGAGTTGAAGTCCACGAGTCATAAAAGGCCCATGGTTCCCCATGCTGGCTCAGGAATTTTGGGAGTTGAAGTCCACGAGTCATAAAAGGCCCATGGTTCACCATGCTGGCTCAGGAATTCTGGGAGTTGAAGCCCACGAGTCATATAAAAGAGCCAAGATTGCCTACCCCTGCCCAAATGCCTGAATTTTGATCACGTGACTGTGAGGAAAAAATATTTAAATCAGGGGTCTTCAAACTTGGGCCTTTTATGACTCATGGACTTCAACTCCCAGAATTCCTGAGCCAACATGGAACTATGGCCCCCTCATGACTTGTGGACTTCAACTCCCAGAATTCCTGAGCCAGCATGACTCAGCTTGGAAACCTCTCCCTTTCCCCTCAGCATGGCTGGCTCAGGAATTCTGGGAGTTGAAGTCCATGAGTCATGAAAGGGCCATAGTTCCCCATGCTGGCTCAGGAATTCTGGGAGTTGAAGTCTCAAGTCATAAAAGGGCCATGGTTCACCATGTTGGCTCAGGAATTCTGGGAGTTGAAGTCCACGAGTCATAAAAGAGCCAAGGTTGCCTACGCCTGGGCTAGTGTAAGATGCATGGACTTCAACTCCCGGAATTCTCTAGTCAGCAGTAACTATTATTATAGATATAATAAATAGAATTCTGGGAGTGTTTTTTGTATCTAGCCTGATTTGCAATTGATGCCTAACCGAAGTAAAACGGAGGAGTCCTTTTTTCAAATATTACAGCAGCTGCGAGCAAATATCCGAGAGATGGAGAACCTTTGTTCCCGAGTACGAAAGGAAGATACTCTGACTTTGCAGAGAATGATTGATCCTGTGAAAGTGGATGCTTCGTTGGCCGTTCAAGAATTTTTACAGCTGCATTCGGAGTCCGCCGAAGTGCTGAAAAGACAATTCATAGAGCAGGAGTCTGCCTCATCGGCTGCTTTGACCCGCTCTACCACTATCGGAGCAGGTACTGTTTATTTATTTATTCAACTTTTTTTTATCCTGGGTTTATTATTAATGAAGAGAAAGACGAGGGGGGGACATGATAGCAGTCTTCCAGTATCTCAGGGGCTGCCCCAAAGAAGAGGCAGTCAAGCTATTCTCCAAAGAATCTGAAGGCAGGACAAGAAGCAACAGATGGAAACTCATCAAGGAGAGAAGCAACCTAGAACTAAGGAGAAACTTCCTGACAATGAGAACAATTAATCAGAGGAACAACCTGCCTCCAGAAGCTGTGAATGCTCCAACGCTGGAAGTTTTTTAAGAAGAGACTGGACAGCCATTTGTCCAAAATGGTGTAGGGTTTCCTGCCTGAGCAGCGGGTTTGACTAGATGACCTCCAAAGTCCCTTCCAACATCATCATCATCATTGTTGTTATTTAACAACTGTCAGAAATTTTGAACTCTATTGTGGTTGTAAGTTGAGAACTACCTATATTTTCAGGGTTTTCAAGCTTTAGTGCATGCGCTTCAACTGTCAGAATTCCCCAGCCAGCAATAACTATTACTATATATAATAAAGAGAATTCTATAAGTATTAATAAAATAAGAGTTTAGATACTTGTAAGTATATAAGTATACTTGTATAAACAGAGGCATAGAATCAAGATCATGTGAGGTATTAATACCACTTTATAAAACCCTAGTGAGGCCACACCTGGAATACTGCAGCCAATTTTGGTCACCATATCACAAAAAAGATGTTGAGAGTTTGGAGAAAATTCAGAGAAGAGCAACTAAGATGATTGAAGGCCTGGAAATTAAAACATACGAAGAATGGCTGCCGGACTTGGGTTTGGCTAGTCTGAAGAAAAGAAGATTGAAACTCAGTCTTGTCAGGTGTTATATTTTTTCTATCCTGCTCTATGGAGTAGAGAGTCGGTCTCTGACACAAGGCCACCTGAAGAGACTAGAAGCATTTGAAATGTGGATTTACAGGTGGCTGTTACGTAGAAGCTGGGTTGACAAAATCAGAAATGAGGAGGTAATCAGCTGCCTGGGAAAGCCAAGGGAAATGATCAAAACAGTTAAAAAACGAAAATTAGAATATTTCGGACAGGTGATGCAACACCCAGAAAAATACGGCATACTCCATTTAATTCTCCAGGGAAAGACTGAAGGCAAACAAGAACAGAAGAAGAACATCGTGGCTTCAAAATCTCAGGGACTGGTTTGGACAGCACTTTTTCGTGTGGCTGCTGATAAAAACAGGATCGCCAACATCCGATAACGGATATGGAAGAAAGAAGAAAAAGAAGAAGAAGAAGAAGAAGAAGAAGAAGAAGAAGAAGAAGAAGAAGAAGAAGAAGAAGAAGAAGAAGGAAAGAAAGAAAGAAAGAAAGAAAGAAAGAAAGAAAGAAAGAAAGAAAGAAAGAAAGAAAGAAAGAAAAAAAAAGAAACGGGGAGACAGTATTATTCCTTGGGGCGAGGATGCTTTATAAAATCCATTGTCCAGAGCTGTAGTTGTGTAATGGTTTTAGATGTGGTTGTGTCTGTGCGTACATTTATTTCCTGTCTTGCAATGTTGTTAGCGCACTCACTGACTTCCACGCTCTTTTCCTTCAGAAACCTTTTCTGATGCTGAAGACGGAGAAAATTCCCCTAGCCAGATTTTTGCCCCGTTGCCAGAAATCCCCCAGGATCAAAACGCTGCGGAATCCTGGGAGGTGTTAGAAGAGGTAATTTGCACATCCCATCATAATTTTCTTTTCAAACAGGATGTTCATTTTAAAATGTCTTATTAGGACAAGGGACGTTTTGCTGAACGAAAGGTCTAAAATTTACACTAAATTATAATTTAAAGCAATGATGTATCGTTGGTATTTAACACTGGATAAGTTGTCAAGAATGCATAAAGTTATTTTTAGAATAGGATAGGATAAGATAGGAAATAGAATAAGAAATTAGAATAAGAAATTAGAATAGAATAGAATAAGGAATAGGATAGAATTATGGGATAGAATAGAATTATGGGATAGAATAAAACAGAATACAGAATAGAATAGAATTTAATAAAATAGAACAGAGTACAGAATACAGAATAGAATAGAACAGAATAGAATAAGAAATAGAATAAGGAATAGAATAGAATATAATAGAATTATGGGATAGAATAGAATTATGGGATAGAATAGAACAGAATAGAATAGAATAGAATGATGATTATGATGATAATGATAATAATAATAATAATAATGATAAAGTTGGAAGGGACCTTGGAGGTCTTCTAGTCCAGCCCCCTGCTGGAGCAGGAGAACCTATACTAACTGAATGTGATTTTAACTGAATGGTAGAAATGCAAATGTAAAGAAGGGACCTTGTATCATTTATGGTGAACGTGTGACAAAGCAAAAAAATATTGGAATAGGATTCACATCTTAATACAGAAGATTCACAAAGTGACTATAAAGATAAAACCGGAGACTTTTCTTTGGGGTTTATAATGGAAAAAGACTTGGGGAGGGGGGGGAAAATTGGGACTTTGATGTTATATATGTTGACGGCAGCAAGATTACTTTACGGACAAAAATGGAAGGAGACTTTGGTTCCCACAACGGACGAATGGCTGCAAACGTTGATGGAGTTAGCCGAGAGGGATAAACGGACTGTTTTGATAAAAGAAAAAAATACAATTGATTTTGTTTCTGTTTGGAAACCGCTTCTGGATTTTGTGCTTGAAGTGGGAAAAAAAATGAAATGTTGGTTTTGCCGATTAAACAGGTTTGTTGAAATAAAGATGGCTAGTATATATTATTATGTAAAAGCAAAAAGTTGAGGTGGTATCTTATTCTACTGCACTTTTAAAAAGAACCAGAAGTTAGGGCTGTTTCTTTTTTCTTTTTCCCTTTTATCCTACACATTTTTCTCTTTTCCTTCTCCCCTTCTCCTCCCCCCCCATTATTTTCTTTTGTAATTTGTATTTATATTATATTTTGATAAACTAAAAAAATTAGAATAAAAGGAAAACAAACTGAGTAACATTTTGGTGTTTTCTTTAGGACCTGATTGAACTTAGCACTCTGGTGACTGAGTTTTCGCTGCTTGTTAACGTAAGTAGAGCAAAGTTTATTTCTCTTCTTTTTCTCTGGGTTCTACCAAAAGAGAACCAGAATCTTAACTGGTTTTCTACCAGGGTCCCCAAAAGCTTTAATATTCTCTGCCAGGTAAAATGATCATTTAAAGGGGGAAATGTAGACATCTCAGTAATATTTGCAATTTGCATACAGTAATTCCATGATCCTTTTGCTGGCTAGGGCAGGGCTAGGCCACCTGGGCTATTTTATGACTCGTGAACCAACTTCCAGAATTCCTGAGCCAGCCGTGCTGAGGGGAAAGGGAGAGGTTTCCAAGCTGAGCCAGGCTGGCTCAGGAATTCTGGGAGTTGAAGTCCACGAGTCATCAAGGGAGCCATAGTTTCCCCATGCTGGCTCAGGAATTCTGGGAGTTGAAGTCCACGAGTCAGAAAGCGGCCTAGGCCTAGGCCAGAGGTAGGCAACCTTGGCTCTTTTATGACTGGTGGACTTCAACTCCCAGAATTCCTGAGCCAGCCACGCTGAGGGGAAAGGGAGAGGTTTCCAAGCTGAGCCATGCTGGCTCAGGAATTCTGGGAGTTGAAGTCCACCAGTCATGAAGGGGCCAAGGTTGCCTACCCCTGATCTAGACAAAGGGGTCCAACTTTGGCAACTTTAAAACTTGTGGACTTCAACGGCCAGAATTCCCCAGCCAGCTAACTCCCAGAATTCCCCAGCTGGCCAACTTCCAGAATCCCCCAGGTTAGAATAGAATAGAATAGAGTAGAGTAGAATAAAGTAGAATAGAGCTGGAAGGGACCTTGGAGATAATAATAATGATGATGATGATGATGATGATGTTGATGTTCTTGTTGGAAGGGACCTTGGAGGTCATCTAGTCCAACCCCTGCTCAGGCAGGAAACCCTATACCATTTCAGACAAATGGCTGTCCAGTCTCTTCCTAAAAACTTCCAGTGTGGGAGCCTTCACCGCTTCTGGAGGCAGGTGGTTCCACGGGTTAATTGTTCTCACTGCCAGGAAGTTTCTCCTTAATTCTAGGTTACTTGTCTCCTTGATTGGTTTCCATCCGTCACTTCTTGTCCTGCCTTCAGGGAGAATAGGTTGACTCCCTCTTCTTTGGGGGAGCCCCTGAGATACTGGAAGACGGCTATCCTGTCCCCCCTGGTCCTTCTCTTCATTAAACTAGGAGGAACCATAGGGTTTCCTGCCTGAGCAGGGGGCTGGACTAGAAGACCTCCAAATTCCCTTCCAACTTTATTATTATCATCATCGTCATCGTTTTTATGTGCCATACGCTCAATAAATAAACGAGCCCGTGCTTTGCTTGTAGACCCAGCAGGAGAAGGTGGACCGGATCGAAGAGAACGTCTGCAATGCCGTCGCCAACGTGGAAGAGGGGACCAGGAACTTATCCAAGGTGCGTCTGCAGCAACTGCTCTCTGGTCGCCAGCTGAAAGGACTCCGTTATCCACCTTCCACAGTCAGCTACTCCTGCTGACAGGACCTGATTGGTCTTGGCGCATTTGGGCCAGCGTATCCACGAGCATCGCCAGCCCACTTCCGCCCCAGGCCTGCCCGCGGATTCCTGTCTTAGTCATTTATTTATGTAAAACGTTCGTGTAGCCGCCTGTTTTTCAGTGTTATAAGCACCTGCAATCAAAGATTTAAAAAAAAACATCAACTCATTTTAAAAACCAGTCATGGATCCGTATCGCTACTTTGGGAGCCAAAAGGACTGCAGGCAGTCCTCGGCTTATAGTCCTCCTCCTCCTCCCCCCTTCTAGCACTGATGATGTTACCTAGCTGGGTCATGAAACGTCTGCAAGAAAGCAACCAAGCTCAGAGAGCACCAAGGACCCCAGTCCTCCTCCTCCTCTTCTTTTCTTCCTCCTCCTCCTCCTCCTCCTCTTTTCTTTTTCCTCCTCCTCCTCCTCCCCCCCTACAAGCTCCACTCTAGCACTAATGAAGTTATCTAGTTGGGTTATGAAACATCTGCAAGAAAGCAACCAAGCTCAGAGAGCACCAGGGACCCCACAGTCCTTTCCTCCTCCTCCTCCTCCTCCTCCTCCTCCTCCCCCTTCTGCAAACCCCACTCCCTTGTAGCATTGATGACATTCCCTAGTTGAGTCCTGAAACGTCTGCATGAAACCCCCTCCCCCAGCTCGGAGGGCACCCAGGACCCCCGCCGTTCATCCCTGAGATACGAATATTCTCTTTGGTCGATTTCTTCTCTCTTTGGGGCTGCAGCCAGGGCTCTTTTGAGTCAAAGTCTGTTGCTGGCCTGTGTGGACGATGAGAGACACCTCTGTTCTCTATCCGCTTCCTTCCCGTGTTCAGAGGGGACCGGCCACCCATTTCCTGCTCGTCTCCAATTCCCGCAGAACTGCTGGAGCCAGGGGGGGGGAGGGCGATCTTGCCTGATGATGCTCTTCCAACGACCCCCTTTTTCTGCCCCTCTGTTTTTTCCAGGCTGCCACCTACAAGCTGGCCGCTCTCCCCGTGGCCGGCGCCCTCCTTGGGGGAATCGTGGGGGGGCCGATCGGGCTCCTGGCCGGCTTTAAAGTGGCGGGACTGGCGGCGGCGTTGGGCGGCGGCGTGCTGGGCTTCACGGGAGGGAAACTCATCCAGAGGAAGAAGCAAAGGATGATCAAGGATCTTTCCTCCGCCAGCTGCCCGGATCTGCCCCGGCCCACCGACCAAGGGGGCAGCTGAGCACGGAGCTGAAGCCGTCCAGACTGGTATCGCGGCTGCCCTTGCTTTGGATCTTCTTCTTCTCCTCCTCCTGCTCCTGCTGGAAATTTTTTTCCTGTTGAGAACGTGAAAGGGACACGATTCACTCTGGAATCAGTTCTGGACTTGCACCAGAGGGATTTGCAAGCCTGGCACGCTCCGGGGCGCCTCGCCTGCCGGTTACACACGGCGAAAACGGTGTGCGCCGAAGGAACGCCTCTTAACCTGTTGTCCTTGCTCCTTCAGGGACTGTTCACAGTGTTCACCGAATGCCTTTTTCTTTTTCCTCCAGGTAAAATGGAGAGGATGCCCACAGGTAGCAGTTTTAGCCTCTGAAAAAGCTTTTTTTCAGCTCCAGTGCACAAATCGTGGTTTGTTTGTTTTTTACACCTGTCGGGTCTTTTTTAATGCTTCTGGCTTCTCTGGCGGAATCGGCTCGCGGTGGGAGATGGGGGTTCGTGGTGGGAGATTGGGGCTCCCGGCAGGATAGACCTGCGGAGGTCAGGTGAAGAGGGGCTGAGATTTTCTGCCCTGGGGAGGGGTCTGTTGTTTGCAAATTTTAATTTTCTGGACAGGAGAGTCGGCGTCTACCTCTCGTTTTAAAAGTGCCGTGGTCTGGAAAAGTCCGAACGGGCTATTTGGGAGGCACATTCTCTGCTTGTTGCTTATCGGATGTCTGGAACAGTTATGTTTCTGAACTGCGGCAACTTTCAGAGGAGTGGACTTCAACTCCCAGAATGCCACAGCCGACGAAGCTGACTGGGGATGTCTGGGAGTTGAAGTCCACTCACCTGAAAGTTTACCAATTTGTTGGAGAATGCTGGGAATGGAAGCCCACAATCTGGAAAAAGGGGAAACATTGCTCTAGAACAGAGGTGGGAAATGATGGCTCCCTTTATGACTTGTGGACTTCAACTCCCAGAATTCCTGAGTCAGCAAAGAATTCTGGGAGTTGAAGTCCACTCATCTGAAAGTTGACCAATTCATTGGAGAATGCTGGGAATGGAAGCCCATACATCTGGAAAGAGGGAAACATTGCTCTAGGTGGGGAAGATGGCTCCCTTTATGACTTGTGGACTTCAACTCCCAGAATTCCTGAGTCAGCAAGGAATTCTGGGAGTTGAAGTCCACTCATCTGGAAGTTGACCAATTCATTGGAGAATGCTGGGAATGGAAGCCCATACATCTGGAAAGTGGGAAACACGGCTCTAGAACAGAGGTGGGTTGTGATGGCCCCCTTTATGACTTGTGGACTTCAACTCCCAGAATCCCTGAGTCAGCAAGGAATTCTGGGTGTTGAAGTCCACAAGCCACAAAAGGCGTCCGCAAGTCATAAACGCCGTTGTTTCTTCCTGCTCTAGAATATAAGACGTCAAAAATGATTTGGTTCCATGCCAACTGAAGTCTAAATGTGGAAACAATTAGTTTGGAAAGGTGTGTGCGAATTAAACAACTGGGGACCTGTGTTGGTTGGTTCAAAAGAGCAGCATTGCTACGACAACTCCTGTTTTTTCCTCTTTGCACAAATACGACAGCAACTCGTCAACATTTTGCGAAGCCCCCAGTGTCGGGGATTTAAAAAAAAGAAAAATTACCTATTTGAAGTATTTGAAAATGTCTTCAGGACATGTTTTTACCTGGCGTGTTGGGTGCCATCTTTTAAGTGGGGCAAAAACGCTTCTATGGGGTTGTTTGTACGAACACTGGGTGCCTGCGCATCCTCCGATGAATAAAAAGGGTTTTAAAAAAGAAGTTTTAAAAAAGAAATGGGTTTTATGAAGTTTTTGTTGATGTGGCAGTTAGGGAATAACAAGGAGGTTTATTTCTTTGTTAGGTTTTGCTGACTGCTGATCCGCATCGTAGGCGCCCCGGGAGAAGAAAGCAGAAAGATGCACGCTTTATTTGGGGAAGGGGAGATTATTAAACCCCTGCGGGGCAATTCTAGACCCCCCCAAAAAAATCACAGGTAATTCTCAACTTACCACAGTCTGTTTAGTGACCATTCAGAATTACAATGGCACTGAAAAATGTGACTTAATGACCGTTTTTCACACCATTGCAGCATCCTCTTTTGGTCATGTGATCAAAATTAATAATAATAAAAGTTGGAAGGGACCTTGGAGGTCATCTAGTCCAACCCCTGCTCAGGCAGGAAACCCTATACCATTTCAGACAAATGGCTGCCCAGTCTCTTCTTAAAAACTTCCAGTTTTCGAGCATTCACCGCTTCTGGAGGCAGGTGGTTCCACTGGTTAATTGTCCTCACTGTCAGGAAGTTTCAGACGCTTGGCAACTGACTTATATTTGTGACGGTCACAGCATCCCGGGGGGTGTCACATGATCCCTTTTGCGACCTTCTGACGAGCCAAGTCAAGGGGGGGAAGCCAAATTCACTTAACAACCATATTACTAACTGCAGTGATTCGTTTAACAACCGGGCCCAGAAAAGTCATAAAACGGGGCAAAATTTACTCAACTGTCTCGCTAAGCAGCAGAAATTTGGGGCTCGGTTTTGGTCGTAAGTTGAAGACTGCCTGTACCATGGGATACTGCACCTGTCTCCATGGGAGCAGAGGTGGTCCCGGAGTGACGCAGTGATCTGCTTGAGAACCCTGGCCGAAAAGATTGCAAAATCGGGCGTGACCAACAACTGCCTTGTTTAGCGATGGAAATATTGGCCTCCGTTGTAGTCCTAATTTGAGGATTACGCTGGTCTACGAGGAGAAAGCCTCAGCAAGGAAAGGACCTTAATTTTTACCAGAATCGGATCCCTAATAAAGGAAAATTAAGTCCTGAGTATTCATTGGCTCCAGTTTCAGGTCAAAATTGCATCAAAATAATTCAAAATTACGAGGGGGAGGTAGAGTAGAGTAGAAATAGAATAGAATAGAATAGAATAGAATAGAATAGAATAGAATAGAATAGAATAGAATAGAATAGAAAATATGGAATGGAATAGAATATGGAATGGAATGGAATATGGAATGGAATGGAATAGAATAGAATAGAATAGAACAACAGAACAGAACAGAACAGAAAATATGTAATGGAATAGAATGGAATGAAATAGGAATAGAATAGAGTGGAATGGAAAAGAAAGGAATAGAATAGAATAGAAAAAGGAATAGAATATAGAATAGAATAGAATAAGAAGACTAGAAAAAGGAATAGAACAGAATATAATAAGAATAGAAAAAAGAATAGAATAGAATAGAAAAAGGAATAGAATATGGAATGGAATGGAATGTTTTTACGTGCTGGCTGAGGAATTCTGGGAATTGAAGTCCACAAGTCATCTAAGAGCCAAGTCTGAAGACCCCTGCCCTAAATGCTGCCTTGCTATGGAGCTGTCCTTCCTGGGGTTAACAGCAACTAAGCTGTGCGTGAGAGATTAATATGCCTGTGAGGTTTTTATCTAATTACTTAAGAATGACTACCAGTATAATTGTTGGTTGTGTTCCCAAAACCAGATGAATTTGTTATAGATCTAGCAGTTGCACATTTACAACTGGCTACCATCAGTTATAACCCTGGCTTTTGGGTGTGCCTGTCTAAATTTGATCTAAAGACATAAGAAGGAGTAGGGTGACATGATAGCAGTATTCCAATATCTCAGGGGCTGCCCCAAAGAAGAGGGAGTCAAGTTATTCTCCAAAGCGCCTGAAGGCAGGACAAGAAGCAACGGAGGGAAACTGATCAAGGAGAGAACCAAACCTGGAACTAAGGACAAACTTCCTAACTGCGGGGACAATTAACCAGTGGAACAACGTGCTGGCTGGGGAATTCTGGGAGTTGAAGTCCACCAGTCTTCAAGTGGCCCTGTTTGGAGAACCCTGGTCTAGCCTGCAGTTGTGCCTCCCATCCAAAAATCATCCAAGCGCAGCCTGACTTAGCTTTTTTTTTTTTTTTTTTTGAGGCCACCAGCCTGTTGAATTCACACAGAAGATGCCCATGGCAAAAAAATAAAATAAAATAAAAGCAGAAAGATCACGTGAAGTGTTAATACCACTTTACAAGGCCTTGGTAAGGCCACACTTGGAATCCTGCATCCAGTTTTGGTCACCACGATGTAAAAAAGATGTTGAGACTCTAGAAAGAGTACAGAGAAGAGCAACAAAGATGATTAGGGGACTGGAGGCTAAAGCATATAAGGAATGGTTGATGGAATTGGGTGTGTCTAGTTTAACGAAGAGAAGGACAAGGGGGGACATGATAGCAGCGTTCCAATATCTCAGGGGCTGCCCCGAAGAAGAGGGAGTCAAGCTATTCTCCAAAGCGCCTGAAGGCAGGACAAGAAGCAATGGATGGAAACTAATCAAGGAGAGACGCAACCTGGAACTAAGGAGAAACTTCCTGACAGTGAGAACAATTAACCAGTGGAACTACCTGCCTCCAGAAGCTGTGAATGCTCCAACACTGGAAGTTTTTAAGAAGAGACTGGACAGCCACTTCTATATGAAATGCTATAGGGCAGTGGTTCTCAACCTGTGGGTCGCGACCCCATTTGGGATTGAACGACCATTTCAGGGGGTCGCCAAACAACGCAATCTGCCATTTTTTCCCCCTTTTCCTTAGCTGTGCTACTCCCTTTTATTCTATTGGCTTTGGAAAGCCAATAGAATAGACTCCCTTGAATAGAGTCTAATTCTATTGGCTTTCCAAAGCCAATAGGAATTGTCCAGGCTGTCTCTGCCCTGCTGAGCCCGCCAAAAGTCCCATTCTGCAAACGGTGCTGCAAGGGGAACAGTCTGCAGAGTTTCCCTCCCTTCTAAGCAACTAAAAAGTAAGTAAAAGAGGGCCAGGGGTGGGAGGTGGGAGGCTGGTGGGCGCAGGGAGGGTTGCTGGCGCGCGTGGGGCCCGACGGGTGCCTTACCTCCCTTGGGCTGGGCCAGCTGGTGGCCCAGCTGGTAGTGACCCTGCCTGCCCCGGCTGCCCAGGAGCGCTCAGGCCTGCCTGCCGCAGCCCCTTGTTGGCTATGCCTCAGCCGGCGCAGGGGGCGGCACCACGCATGCGCGGCACTCCCGGGCTGGTAGTCCTCGACTTACGACCTGGGTCGCGGCTATAAAAAGGTTGAGAACCACTGGTATAAGGTTTCCTGCCTGAGCAGGGGGTTGGACTAGATGACCTCCAAGGTCCCTTCCAACTTTATTATTATTATTAAGAATGCTGTCCTGGCACGATGCCCTGCAACAGACAGCCTCATTTGCCGGAGGCTTGGACTGATGCTGCTGCCTTTGGGTCCAGCCAGATGGGGGCCTGAGCTGGTCTGGAGATGGAGCTGCTCTGGGCGAGGGCCAGGATGGGACAGTGAGGTTTGCAAATGGCCACAAGGGGGCAGCAGGACACAAACCAGAACAAGAGGGACCTTCAGTTCAGTTAAAGGAGTAACAGGCTGATGATAACAGGAGTCCCTCCATTTGGGGGGGGGGGGTGCAAGATGGTTTCTTCATATGTTTTAGCCTCCAGGCCTTTAATTATTTTACTTGCTCTTCTCTGCCCTTTTCCCAAAGTCTCAGCCTCTTTTTTGTAACGTGGTGACTAAAACTGGATGCCGTATTCCAGGTGTGGCCTTACTAAGGCTTTACAAAGTGGTACTAACACTTCTAGTGACAGATTTTATCTTCCTGGGCTCCAAGATCACCACAGATGGGACGGCAGCCAAGAAATTAAAAGACGCTTGCTCCTGGGGAGGAAAGCTATGGCAAATCTAGACAGCCTACTAAAAAGCAGAGACATCACCCTGCCAACAAAAGTGCGTATAGTCCAGGCCATGGTTTCCCCAGTTGCAAGGTATGGCTGTGAAAGTTGGACCATAAGAAAGGCTGAAAGAATGGAGGCCTTTGAACTCTGGTGCTGGAGAAGACTCCTGCGAGTCCCCTGGACTGCAAGGCGATCCAACCGGTCAGTCCTGGAGAAGATCAACCCCGACTGCTCTTGAGAAGGCCAGATCCTGAAGTGGAAACTCAAGTCCTTTGGCCACCTAATGAGAAGGAAGGACTCACTGGAGAAGAGCCTGATGCTGAGAAAGATGGAGGGCAAGAGAAGAAGGGGACGACAGAGAAGGAGGTGGCTGGATGGAGTCCCTGAAGCAGGAGGCGTGAGCTTCAATGGACTTCAGAAGATGGCAGAGGACAGGAAGGCCTGGAGGAACATCCATGGGGTCACGATGGGTCAGACACAACTTCGCAACTAACAACAACAACACTTCACGTGGTTTTGATTCTATGCCTCTGTTTATGCAACCCAGGATTGAATAAGCTTTTTTTCTTTGGCTAATGCTCACCTTCTGGGTAGCGTAAATGCAGTTTGCACTGCCTGTTCTGAGATCCTTTTGGCACTTTCTGACTCAGTCCCTCGCCCTGGGATTTCCTGGTGGTCTGCCCCCCAGGAATCTGGTGGTCTGTCTATGGAGATTCTCTGCCATCCAGGTCCTGGTAATCCAGTGGTTCTCAACCTGTGGGTCGTGACCCCATTTGGGGTTGAACGACCATTTCACGGGGGTCGCCAAACAACGCAGTCCGCCCTTTTCCCCCCCTTTTCCTTAGCTGTGCTACTCCCTTTTATTCTATTGGCTTTTGAAAGCCAATAGAAGAGACTCTCTTGAATAGAGTCTAATTCTATTGGCTTTCAAAAGCCAATAGGAATTGTCCAGACTGTCTCTGCCCTGCTGAGCCCGCCAAAAGCCCCAGTCTGTAAACGGTGCTGCAAGTTGTCTGCAGCGAAGGCGAGCTGTCTGGAAGTTTCCACCCCTCCCTGCTGAGCA